CTCTCTCCTACTATGTCCTATAAGGCAATTGCTGAATGGGCCGTAAACGAGTTCTGTCTCCCAACCACTCCCGGCAAAGCCACCATGTGTGGTATTTTCAAGTCGTCAGCTACACTACTGAAGCAACCAGTGGAGAAGACTACTCGCAAAAAGACGCAGCCACACACCCACCTACAACTCGGTGAACACGTCGTAGCTTTTGTCATGCTCGCTGAAGGCGACCGCGGCGACCATTCAATACTGTTGGCAACATTCGGGCTTAGTTAACAAAGCGAGCATCCGTTAATTTCTTTTTTTAACTTATATCAAAACAGGCTGTTTTCGCTCCAAACTGCTTTGAGCAATATCGTTTTATACACTTCAGACTGGCATATATATCAGGCGTTCGCTATTCACGCAGAATACTGTACCTACTTATCTGGGCTACTGAATCGAGCAAAGACCGCACCATTCGAGAGGCGAGATTTTTACATCTCTTTACCCGGCTTAAAAATGACGACCTGATGAAGGCTAGGGAATTTTTGATTTGACACATCAAGCTTTGGGTCACGATATCTTAAATTTCACCGTAGTAATTTAGACCAATCAGCTGCCACTTTAACGCATTTCCGTTGCTAAATTCATTCTGACCATCTTACGGCTTTTATTTTCGGACGAACGAAGTATAATGTCAGGCACAATATGCTAAGAAAATACCGGCTGTACTTAGCTAAAACAAGCTATTTCTTCTAGTGAAGCGATCCACAGTGTTTATGTAAGAAGAACAGAGTCAATTTCTTACACGTATGTGAAGCTTGCCAAGGTTTCACAAGCAATCTTTTTTATTGTAGAGAACCACTTCTCATCTATTTTTTTTAAAAATACAAAAATAGATGACCAGAAGAGCAATTAATACAGCGACGGCGAACAGTATAGATTGCTGAATAATGTGAGCTAGTATCTCGTCATTCAGATTGGTCAAATGCTCTAGTGATATCAATCTAGCTTACAAACCGGCATGTCCGCAGGGGTCTGCGTGCAAAATTCGAACAAAACACCTTCTTGATGTTTTCAGGATTATTCCTGCAGAATCACGAAAAAAGAGACCATTTTCATCAATGATCCTTGTGCGAGTAAAATACAGCTGCAATGGAGAATATCCACGTAGGAAATGCTAAATGGGGACTATTGACGAGGTCGAGAAGAAGGCAATTCGCCGCAACCTGCCTCAGTGCTACTTTTTTTCGCTCATTTGATAATTTTTATTCAGATCGGACGTTTCTTACAACCTAAGCTTGAAGAATTGGAAGCACACGCACTCAGCAGTTTTTGGCTTACTAGCAAGTACCTACCACCAACAGACTCACTGCTTCAATGAAACACCGAGCGACGACCGACCACCAAGGCAAAGGTCGCTACAGATCGACAACATGACCAACAAGGTGCTCGTTGCATCAATGAAATTTTTGCTTTTAAGAAAAAAAAAATCACGTCACAAGTGGCTTCCAAAATATCAGTTGGGTATAATTTTTAAATACCCTTTTAAATTATAAAGTACACACATTGAGCCACAGGTTGAAAAAAAACGGCTGGATTATTATTGTTCTTGGCATCCTTTTTTATCCTAGACAAATCTTGCAAGTTTTATTTGAACGAAAACAGTGTTGGCCGAACGATGACAGGCTGCAACTCACAGAGATTTCGTTAGAAAAAAACATTTAGAATTCGTGGAGGTCTCCGTAGCACTCCTCCACATGGACAACGCTTTGGCGTCGAGGGGTTATCAGATGTGTGCCCAACCTAATACTGCAGTGCCAAATGCAACAAAGCACCAAGGCAGAACCTCAACTTCACTGTAAATGTCTATTAATACTGTAATAGACATTGTCTATTGCTCCCCATCAAGTTGACGCAGCCACCGTAACTATTAATATGACCGTATGTTCCCAGACCTCCGACTAAAAGCCAACCCTTTTCTGAGATTCACTCCAGAACCTGTATCGATATGATTAGTGCATAGCCCCTGCAATTATTTTTAATTTTGCTGCGATCATTTCAATACCAAGACGTGCTAGTCGCCCTGTTTGCGCACATACGTGATGATGCATGCATCAGAAGAGGTCCGGCTCCTCATTGGCGCATCCCTGCGTTTTCGCTGCCCTCGAAGCTCAACATCCTCATTTCTCAAAAGCCGCTGGGCAGCTCAAGTTGGCATTTACTATCAAAGCGTTATTTGAGGACATGACACCCTCCGCACCCGAGAAAAGCCTCAATCGCTGCTCGTCCTCGTTCCAGATGCGCTCGCTGCGTCCAGTGTCCGCCAAGATCATCTCGTATGGCCGCGAGAACCAATCACACCGTCGCCCCACTCTCTACGTACTTCGAGTGAGCCGCAGCGGCGCCCCAGACTGGTATGTGGCCAAGCGCTACTCGGAGTTCCGCGCTCTACACGAAGCGTTGCAGCGTCAATGCAACGGCAACGGCAGTAAGCAACACGCGAGTTGTAGCGCATGCGAAGAGCTCGAGAGTTTTTACAGTAGCGTGCGCTTCCCTGATCGTCACATCCTGCAGTCTGGTCTGGGCATCTCCAAGAAACGACTGGATGCCACGAGAATGGAAGAATTGGACAGCTATATGCGTTTCCTATTAGTCAATACACAGGGTCTCATAGGAGATGAAGAGGATGAAGACGAGTCGCCCGAATGGGACGACAACGAAGGCTCCAGGTGTCTCGCGCTGGAATTGATACGCGAGTTTCTCATGGTGAATGAGGACCACACAACGACAGAGTCGGAAGCCAAACCGCAACAGGATGGAGAGAACACTAAAGACAGAAGAGCAGCTGCGGGTGTGACGTCGGCTGCTGTCGTGCCCAGACGGCAGCTGCACCGGCTAACGAGGAGGAGCTCATCCGTCACCAGTTTCCACGTGCGGGAGCTGGATCTCGTGTCAGCCGAGAAGAAGAGCTCTCCCACGGGCGACTCAATGCGCAATCTCTTCTCTGAGGAGTGGTGGGACCCCTCCTTTGCGGACGTGTTCGAGGAATGTGCGGCACCTCCAGAGGACGCTTTCATCCACCGTCAGGTTGAGGATGCACCCGCTCGCACTCATCCGTTGCGTCTCATTGAGGGATTCCCTCGTCGCTAGATGGGAAAAGGATGATAAAGGGTGTGGCCCTCAAGCGCGACGGAGCCAGACAGGGACGGCCCTGAATTATTGTAGTTTTTTTTGCAATCCTACCGTTAAGAAATAACCCGCACATGGGTACATGTAATACAACACCTTAGCTACCCATTTCTCTGCGTCCCCCTTGTTAACGTTCTGTAGTCCGACAACAGGACTGTATCACTAGCAAGATCAGAATCGGCTGAGCGCATATCGTAAACGTCGCGTGTCGTCGGCAACAGTTACGCATTATGGCAAACGAAGCACCTCGGTATAATAACCACCATTGCGGCAACGTGCGTGGCAACCGACTGGG